AAATTACATGTTTCGTTTATGTTGAATAAACTTCATTTGATACTAAATGTTATTGGGTTGCAGCTCAAAATAAAATGAATGAACTTAAATTCAATCCAAATCAAATATTGCTTTGCTGAGTTTTTGGCAGAGCAGCAAACTGATAGTCAAAACTTTTCTTTTTAGTCTCAGCTCCTTGTTATTTGTTCAATCATCTAAGAAGACAAAGCTTTTAACCGGCAGGGTAAGAAATTTTGAAACATGCATATGTCACAAAAACTCAGTATTGGTAAGCTGACAGTTATTCCTATGTATTTCTTCTTCATATTTGAGATGTATGTATGAAATTATGAACTTTACTGCAGGAATAAGTTGAATAATACAAATTATGATCATATGTAACAATTAGAATGATATGGTAAACAGGTAATGTCATAGTAAGTATTTTTTTTATATTCTTGGGCACAACAGTCACATCCCAACCTGAAAATTTTATCTATTATGTCATTCAAATGATGATTGAAAAATTGTATACTATGATAAACAATATACTGAAAAATTACCACCATTGATTTTTTTTCTTCTAAATAATCTTTTTTTTTTCCTTTGAGAGACTAGAATAGATGAGAATGCTACAATGCTGCAAATTAGAGCTGTTAGAAGAAAAATCAGAAAGAAAAAGCTATGTAGACAGTCTCTTACATTTCTCAATAAATTCTGTGTCTAATGCAGCATTGTGTTTTACTCAAAGTGACTATACTCTACTACAATTATTGATTAGTTTATCTTCTTAAAAAAAAACCATTTTGTGGATGAGTAAGGTTCGTCTTTGAAATAAACAGTCATTGATCACATGTCCTTAAAACTTTTTTGTATGCTGACAAACTGCCTGTCGAGAGTACTAGTCTGATGCAAATGTCAACCTGGCAGCATTTAAACAAATGATTAGACAGTCAGAATAAAGGAGTTAATTATGAGAACTGCATACCCTGTTTGGTTCATCATTTTTACTAGAGATATAAATATCATTTGTCTGAGCAGCTACCTTCAACTATAAGGCTCAACTTCAGCCAAAATCTGAGAATCTTGCTAGATTAGTAAGGTAATATGAATGTGCATTTGCAGAATGCATTTGCATGTAGAGATATGCAAGTAAGGCTAATAAAACTATGATAAGTAAGTTGAAAATCGGTGCACAGCCTACCTACATCAGATATTATGGAACATCACCTCTGGTTTGTATAGCAGTAGTACCTCTTTTACTGAAATTTTCAGTAACAAAGAATTCAGGAGTCACCAGGTCTGGTTTACATTTGAACAGAGACTACCTTGTTGGAAACTTCTAGGAACATTACACACACTCTAGTAACAGCATAGGTTTTCATAAATATGATGGCTATAATTCTGTAGTTTGCAATAACAAAAATCTAAGTAAAAATAATAACCAAAATCTCCATGGTAGGTTCACAATGAAAATTTTTAAGCAAGTTAATCCCTCTTCATCACTAGCAATGCAATTCTATCCAGGCCACTTGAATGTAAAAGGACAAAAATACACTATATATATGAGGAAAGCTATACATATTGAAAAAACATTTAAATTTTATGGAATAATGATGTATCTGCAATGAAAGAAAGTTTCATTATTATTAGGACTTTTGCACTGTGATGCAACTCTTTCCTTATTTTTGTAGGAGAGGTGGCAATTTAAAATTGGTTCTGGACTCTGGTTCTTAAGCATAAGAGGTTTCAGTTGAATATGAGGAAGAATTTTGTTACTTTCAGGGTGACAGCGCACTGGAACAGGCTGCCCAGGGGGGTTGTGGAGTCTCCTTCTCTGGAGATATTCAAAGCCCGCCTGGACAATGTCCTGTGCAACCTGCTCTGGGTGAACATGCTCTAGCAGGGGGGTTGGACTAGATGGTCTCCTGAGGTTGCTTCCAACCCCTGCCATTCTGTGATTCTGTGATAAATAGGTGATAGTAGTAATATTAATACAAAGAGTGTCTCAAGCCCGTTGCATCCTCAGGGCCTTTAAGATGAAAAGAAAGAGATGCCAGAGAACTGTTTTACAAGCAAAAAAATAATAATTTTTATTTCTATCTAAATGTCACTATGTTGCTGAGGTAGAATGAACTTAATAATTAGAAAAATGTGACTCCTTGTGCAGCTAGTATATTATATCCCCACTCTGCTACACTGTATATTTTCTGCATTTGGGGGAGTCGTATGATATCCATCAACAGTTCCAAGTAGTCTATGCAATTAACCCATCCTTAATATGCATAGACTTTATATTATAAACATATAACAGTTGAATGTGTGTATCTTCAAAGCAATTTTCATATTTCATTAGTCCTTAAATAGTTTGGAAAATGAGTGGGCCTTGTGACATGTTATAAAAGAATTGAACTGCTTTTAGACTGGGGAAACTGATTTTAAATTTAAGTGCACCTTAGAAAATGTCCAACTGGAGCCTTTTCCAAGGGCACCAGCACATCTGCTGATTAAATCTTCAGGAGATTTATACTGGGAAAGTCAGATTCTCTTCCAACAGGCATGTCCCGGCAGATGCTGCACTTTATGGATGGGTTGTTGGAGCCACAGGCACCTGGTTTGGCAGATGCCCAGTTTGCCCCCTGCTGTATCAGCAAGAAGTTCTTGTGCTGAAGGCAAGAACGGCCGCGTGTTGGTTCATATCACAGCTCAGCTCTTTCCCCCAGAGGAACGAGCATGCTGGGTCACTTTGCTATGCCACTACCCGTGTTGGTAGCGTTCACACACCTTTTTGCTACGACGATACCCCCTAGCGCTTTAGCTACACTAAAAAGAGCTAATTAAATAGGGTTGCTTAAATAAGAGAGGGATACAATATTCTCTTCACAGGACAGGAATGAGTATTCCCTGCTCAGTATGCAGAGAGGGAGACAAAGAGTTATTCAGGGCAAGCACCAGAGAGGAGGCTTTTTTGCAGAAATGGCCATAAGCTTCCAACTCCTCCAGCCATTCAACAATAGGATGTTTTGACAGAAGAGTAGATGTTGCTGTAAATCTCCTAATTATGGATCAAAAATGCCACGGACACATGATGCACAACACTGAACTGCTATAAGCTCAAGCAGCAGTTCGGAACAGTGGAAAATTTTCTGCTGGATTAACCTTTATACCAGTAGGTTCTACGCCAGATTCAGTATCAGATGTATTCTGGCCTCCTTTTGAAACATACAGGCAACATAAAAAAAAAAAACAGGAAAAAAACCCCACATAAATCTGGCATATACTTTGTATCATCTGCTCTAGCTAATTTGACAGCTGTGCTATCATTTTTATCTACCTGATTTGGACAAAATTAATGGTTTTAGTAACCTCAAGGAAATGGTGCAGAGCTCTGGCGGTGATGCTTGCAGACCCACGTTCTCAAAGGTTGTGTTAATTCACCGGCTTTAGCCACTGTGATTTGAGGCTTGTTTGTACTTGAGATATCTGCTGACTGAGTTCTCCTGCGGGTGCAAAAAGTGCTTATGCACCCAGGCATATATTTTTTTTCCCCATCGTTCTTCCGCTGCCCACTTGCTGGGGTAACTTCTGCCATTAACACTCCAAGGGAAACCCACACTGGTAAACCTGGTATCAATCCACTCTGGGTTTCATCTGTATACCTCATAAACCTCATTATCAGTTGGAAAAGTGCAAATACTAAATCATTCTTCTGCATGTTCCTAAAAGCTACACACATTCACATGAAAGTACACCTTTACAAGAGTTACCACCCTTTACTAGAGTGTTGCCAGACTTTCTGTGGTAATAGGAGTTTTATTTTGAAACCGTGTCTCCTCTGTAGTGCAATTAGAATAGGATTGTGAACAAGAATTGCCAGAAATTAAACAGTATTGTTTCCCATCTTTATGTGACAGATCATGGATGGAACATTATTAGAGAGCAGAATAATTGTGGGGCATTTTTGTTGTAATTGTGGTGAAGGGATGAGCAGTGGAGCGTGTGTAAATTGTCCACCTTTGTTGGTATTCTGCTGACGTTAATTTGATTTAGGTGTGGGGAATTCTTTTGTTGATGTAAGTGACGTTTGTGAAGATTGTAGATTATGTGATGAATGTGTATTTTAATGATAATGATAGTTTAATGGTAATGATAAAAGAAAACATCTTTTTACATTCTCAGCGTGATGTAATTAAAAATCAGATCCCATAAGATATTCAGACACTTCCTTCTTAGTGATTTCAGCGGTATGAAGATACCTGAATGCTTCTAAAAATCTGGCCCATAGACATATGTCAAGAGGGTCAAAATACATTGTTGTAGAGGTTACACCGCTGTTCTTTTCAATAGCCTGTTGTACTATAGTTTCCGATTATTCTGTTTTGTGTTACTACTCTTTACGTTGGTTCTGTTTTTTTCTTTCCTGAGTTAGCTGCTGCACTAGGTGTCCCTCTCTCTTCTAACCATTATTTTTGGGAAGCTTTGCAAAATTTCCTTTTGCTTCACAGTGTGCAAAGCAGTACAGCTTAAGGGCTGTACGCTTGCTACTGTGTGTACTTAGTTACTACTTTGTTCTAAGAGATGCTGAGTGTACCTGTCACCCATTCAGCTGCTAAGGGAGAGAATGATCATCACAGGATCAGGCAGATAAGAGCTGATCTATTCTCTAGCCAGCAGGAGGGGAATTTAAAGCAGTCAGAGTTATCGGAGGATCTCCTCACATCTTCCTTCTGAAGGGGAATCTCTGGTAGTGCAAGAATGGCAAAACTCTCAGTGGTATAAATTAAATCTGAAGTTTTAGCTTACATGTAGGGCTAAAGTTGGCAGGGGGGAGCCTTCAGCGAAAGCTTAAGGAAAGAAATACAGAGCATTCTGTCGCTGGTACTGTTCCTTCCAAAGGCTGAAAATAATAAACCTCTGGTAATAAACCTCTGGTTAGAAGGGCAAAGCTGGCTTTTAACCTCAAAAGTTGAACTGTGCACCAGCCTTGTAAGTACTGTATATGCTGTTTTTCCTCTGTGCAGGTATCTCAGCCAGACCGTAGTGGAAGAGACGATGTTAACAGCCAACCCTCAGAACAGGGAGAAATTAGCCCTACTCAAACAAGCTCTAGGTGCTATGGGATTCAATAGCCTGGTAAGTCACACAAGCTTCTGTTATTTGCCACTAAAATCACCATTTTACTTAGTTAAAAGCAGGCCATAAGGAACTCTCACTCATAACCTTCTGTGGGGAAAAGAAGTGCCTTTCTGTCTTCCTTTTTTTCTGTTGGTTAAGACCTTGAAACAATATACAGTACTAGTTCACTCCAGGGAAATTACTGTAATCACTTTTAATTAGACACAGCACCAACAATGTAAATCTTTTTCATTCTTAAAGATTCGCAAAACAGCTCCAAGGTATAATACTCTGAACAATTAAATTACATAGATAAAAAGAAACAATCAAATCCCATATGACAGAAACCTCATAAAACCCACAGGAATCTTCTCCTTTTTCTGATTATCTCCCTGTCCCTTTTAATTTTGTGAAACACACATTCCAAATGCCTCTGCTAGCAACACCTGAAAAAGAGTAAATAACATATTTAGTCAAACAAAATTAGAGCTGGGTAACTTGAAAGAACTGACTTAACCCCCAAAAAGCAACATGAAGATAGGTCTGATGTTTGTCTTTAATCCTATAAATAGCTAACGAAGAAGATAATTTGGGAAATTAATCAAGAACAGCTTCTGGAGTACAGAGTTTTGAGGGAAATCAGGCGAAATGGAGGGCTGAGTATAAGAACTCATGAAAACTCTGTCATTCCCTTCAGGATACTAGAATATTTAACAAACTCCATATTTCTTACATATATATATATATATATATATGCTCCCTAGCACACTGTAGCTGGGACACTTCTGCAAACCAAATGCATAAGCAACTGTAGTTCCAGGAGGTGAAAACTTCTTTACCCCGAATGATATTTAGCATCATAAGAAAAAAGCAGAGGAAAAGTTAATGTGACAGTATGTGAGATTATCATAAGAGATGACAGATGGGCAACAGTTGTAATAAAAAGAGATCAAGGGCTATCAGCAAAAAAAATTTGTCAGTCTGCTGAAGCTGTTATTTAGGTGTGAGGTAGACTTCTGTGGTGACAGTACATCATGTAGTTGTTTGGCATTCCCTAGTTAAGGTAGTAACAAATGTTCTTTAGTAACCTATGCCATGTTTAAATATAAAGAGTGGGGTTTTTTTTCATTAATATTCACGTGGCCGTGTACAAAATTGAATGCATATGGCTATATTTGACAGTATTATCCCTTACTCTTAATGATGAAAGCTCTGCACCTGTAGACTTCAGTAGCAAAAGTTCCAGGCAGTCCTGCATTTATCCCAGTGTTCACGGATGGGTGGATCTCTCTACTCTGTTAACCTTTTTGTTCTGTTGAGGAAGGGGTTCAGCCCATAAATAAATAGTTGAATGCCTAATGAATCACATTTTAGAAGCCTGCAGAAACTGTCTGAGAACACTTTACATAGAAAAACACGGTACACTTTTGGATCCAGCACTTCAACTTCACTTTGCTCAGAGTTCTGGAAAGGAAGTAAGTTGCCTGTCGGAAAAGCCTAAACCATCTTCAAGGCTCCTCTGTATTCAGGCAGCATTAGGATAATCATTTAGGAGACTAGAAATCTGTGGAGCTCCAGAGTACTGCAGGCTCATCTCCTGTGCTGGAGGTTAGAGGGGAATATGTAGATAAAACACATGTCCTAAAATTTCTACCTATTAGTTCTGAGGTACATGGAAAGGTCTGTATGTATTATTCCTTCACCGTCTAGCTACATTTAATGATGGCGTATATTATCTTTTTGAAGAAGTACATAAACATTCCTTAGCAGTCTTTAATGGTATCTTGCAATGTCAATGTTTATTAAGAAATTGTTTTAAAGTTGAGGGAGCATGCATCTTGGAGCACAATGAGGAAGTATCTGAGAATCTGGAACGTGAACTATAGCTGAGGCCCTACCAAAATCACCAGAATAAACAGCTATCCCAGCCTGCTGCAATTCAATGCTGTGTAGTCATCCCCAAACCAGTTCTGAACAAGCTAACAAGCAAGAAGTATGCTGTACTAGAGTGTCATTCCATCTTGCCTAAGAGGCCTTCCCAAGAAGCAGGGCGTAGCACCCTAACTTGAATGCCATATAAGCACGACAGTTCTTCTATTGTAAGAAAGAGCTACCTTATTCAGATTACACCTGTATATATTGCTTTTTATAATCTTTGTCTTTGGTACTGTGTAATAGAAAAATATACTGTTGCCCTATTTACATCTATCTCATATGGTAAGAGATTGAAGTTCTTGGCTTGAAATGTAGCTTAGAGAATCAAACTTGCTTAAACAGCATCAGAGGTGCTGTCGTCTGTATCCCAGAAAGACTGTAAGCTTTTTTTTAATGTCCTCTGATGACAGGCATATTTATTAGAGAAAGGAACAAGAAGAAGAAGAAAAGTGGGGTTTTTTTGACCTGTTGCTTTTGAAAACTGTTGAAAAGTCATCCAAGCTTGGTTTCAGTGTGTCCCGAATTCATTGCAGTCACCCGAGAATAAATGGGATGTATTGGCTAAGTATTTAATTTGTAGTGTATTTTTAAATCTTATTCTACAAATTCCAGTAAGTGAGGCTTCTCACTGTCGCTTCTAGTGTTTCAGTAGAATCAAGTTCCAAATATTATTTTTCAAAACTATTTCAAGAATTATCAATTAACTTTGCTATGCATAATGCCATGTAATGCTATAATGGATATCAGGTTTCCTGGTTTATAATTTTAAAGGAGCACCATTGTTATACAACTGACCTTAAAAAAACATCCAATAACATACAACATTTTCCATGTCTTAGCATTTTTGGTTCACATTTCATGGATCATTTTTCTGCTTGAATTTAAAAACATTTAAAAAAAAACAAAAAACCAACCAAACAAGAAAATTAGCTCTCTTTTTGCTGTGGTAAAAATGAGGCCAGGAAAAACCTAGCCCTACAGATAACTACTTCACAGCCTTAGAGGCATCAGAACATAGCATGCAATCATGGGGGGAAAGTGTGTGGGTAAGGATGGTTGGGTTTGTTTCTTTCAGACCTTTTAGACCTTAACTGCAGTTTTTGCTATAACGGGAACCTGGTATAATTTTGAGCTAGACACTTTGCTTGTGAATGCAGTTGGCTGAGGAAAAAACAAACCTTGCTATTCCCAGATACAGGATGTGTCTCGATGGAAATGCTCGATGGAGAAGATCCATTTACTTCTTGCAGAAATAATGCATCCATTAAAGATATTTCAGGATTTTTTATCACATACTGAAAAACTTTCTTAACTCAGTAGTTAATGTGATTTACATTAAAACAAAAGAAAAAAAAATGTAATCTTGTTGTTTTACATCCTAGATAGGTTCCAGTTTGATTTCTTAATCCAAATTTTCTGTTAACAGTTAGCACATGAGTTCTTTTTAACTTAGCAAATGCCAATGAGACAAACTAAGAGAATTTGTATTTTTATAAAGCATTGCCTTTCACTGGTGTGCCCAACAGATCTCTTCTTTATCTTTAATTCTGCATAAAATATGTGCAGGAGGTGGAGAACCTGTTTGTAATTCTCTCAGCAATTCTGCATCTTGGAGACATTCGCTTTACGGCTCTGACAGACGCTGAGACAGCATTCGTGTCAGACCTGCAGCTACTGGAACAAGGTCAGTAGGACGTGACCTTGGAGCGTCGCAATCAGGGCACTTGCGCTGATCCACCGACAGATGGAAACACAGTTCCAGGGAGACAAAAAAATTACTTCTGAAGATTCATAGGTTACTGTGGAAAGACAGTATCCAATTGACTTGGATGTTTTTTAAACTATGGATTTTTATGGGATAAAATAAAATACTACTATTGCACATTATGTAATTCAATGCCATATTTAATGCTGCCATTTGCCAAAAGAAATTGTACAGTGCGCTTTGGGCAGTCTTTTAAAATGCTCTTGTGCTGCTTGTCAACAGCTGAACAATTTGAATTGAATTGAATTCCTTAGTTTCAAAAATCTATGTCTTAAAAGGGTCTCTTGTTTTCATGCTTTGAAGTTTGCCCTCTTGGTCACTAACAAATCTCTTCAAAGTGGCTTATGGGTACAGAATGTCAATAAGTAGCATACCTTAACTCTAATATGAGAGAAAGTCTGCCAAGCCCTGGGGAAAGTCCTGAGTAATCTTTAAAGAGGAAAGAAAGCTCTAATGTAATATACAGATACATTCAAACTTCACAAAGTGCTGATTATAGTAATCCGATTTTGTATGGTCATTAATTCTGATTACTCCTGTGACAGCACTCTTTTCTTTAATGTTTCGGTTCTTTCACTCTTCAAAAATAGCATCTACATAAGAAAATCTGTTATAAAAAATAAAATATGCAGTAGAGCAGAAAAATCAGGCTTTCTTTACATTCTCTTTTCATTTCAGTGGCAGGGATGCTGCAGGTTTCACCAGATGAGCTTGCTTCAGCCTTAACAACTGATGTTCAGTATTTTAAAGGTAATGTATTCCACACTTACATTCTCATAGATTAGACCTGGCAGCATTTTGATCCTTCTGATTTGAGAATTTGAAAAGCAGATCATTTTTGTTTCTCATTCCTTGTATGGTCTTGTAAATTTTCTCTCTGAGGAATATGTAGCATTATCTGCCATGCAATAAGTCACGCAATAAGTCATACTGGGCCACTGAATTAGAAATGTCTTTGTAATATGGAGCAAAGCAGTTTCGCAGTCTGACACTGATGGACTCCTAACTTGATTAATGTTACAAAAGTGTGTCAAGATAACAAATTAGATATTAATACTAAGAATTAAAGTCAACAGGAGTGTCCTGAAAAAAAATAAAAATTGAAAAAGTTTTCAGTAAAATGCTAGTTCTGTGTGGTATACATACCCTCTTCTATTGATAAAAGTACAAAGATACATGTTTCCAAACTGAAGATCTTGCGAGTGTTGACAGTCTTCTCATCTTTCACTGAAGGCTTCAGAAAAAACCTAACACCATGTGTATGTTTGGCAAAGGAGAAGTAAAAAGGGTGGAAGGACTTACTGCAACTAAAATTACTTCAGACGAGCTTTACAGCATGCTTTCATCTCCATTTTCTGCTTTCTCTCATAGGAGACATGATTGTACGGAGGCATACTATAGAGATTGCAGAATTTTACCGAGATCTCTTGGCAAAATCTCTATATGGTCGTTTGTTTAGCTTTTTAGTCAACACAATCAACTGCTACCTTCAAAATCAAGATGAGACTGGCAGGTAGGAGTGCCATTACAAACTATTAGATGTTAAATGTATTATCATTTAAAGCATTTTATGATAGCATGACAGTGATGCTTGGATCTTTAAATCACTGGCCATTCCTTCAAATTTTTCCTTGGTAATGTATTTGTTTATTTATTTCTTTGTGTAGGGGGACATGGTACTTTATGGAGTAATCTAGATTGGTGGGTAGAATTAGTAGCCTTTTAAGAATTGACAGTACAGAACAAGCAAAGTCTAAGTCTTTCAACACACAAAAAGCGGCTTGCTGGTTTTTTAGTGCAGAATATTCTTGCTCTTTGTCCTCAAAACTATGACCTTAGTGCAAGGTATTAAAAACATAATTTTGTTCAAAGGCCATCAAATTAATGTTTAAACTTCACTGAATTAGATGTTCTAAGAATGTTTTGGATGTCTCTAGGTTATTATCTGCTAAATTCAGTGCTGTTGCTATCCAGTGTGGCTTCTTCTAGAGAGTGTTTTGATTACCTTGAGTTCAATGATGGTGATGATAGGCTTGAGTGTTCAGGGTGAAAAAACAGGGGAAAGGCCAATGAGGCAGATACCATGGTGGGAGTCTGTTATAGACCACCTAACCAGGAAGAAGAGACAGATGAAATATTCTACAAGCAACTGGGAAAAGTGTCACGATCGCTAGCTCTTGTTCTTGTGGGGGACTTCAACTTACCAGATGTCTGCTGGAAGTACAACACAGCAGAAAGGAAACAGTGTAGGAGACTCCTGGAGTGTGTGGAAGACAACTTCCTGACAAAACTCATGAATGAACCAGCTAGGGAAGGCACCCTGCTGGACCTGTTGTTTGTGAATAGGGAAGGCCTTGTGGGTATTGTGATAGTTGGAGGACGCCTGGGGCACCTGCTTGACCACCCTGATCTCCTTCTATGACCAGGTGACCTGCATAGTGGACGAGGGAATGGCTGTGGTGTACCTGGACTTTAGTGAAGCCTTTGATACCATTTCCCACAGCATTCTACTTGAGAAACTGGCTGCCCATGGACAGCCATACTCTTTGCTGGGTAAAAAACTGGCTGGGTGGCCGGGCCCAAGGGGTGGTGGTGAATGACATTAAATCCAGTTGGCAGCTGGTCACATGTGGTGTTCCCCAGGGCTCAGTTTTGGGGCCAGTTCTGTTTAACATCTTTATTAATGACCTGGACAAGGGATTGAGTTACCCTTAGCAAGTTTGCAGATGACACTAAGCTGCGGTAAAGTGTCGATCCGCTTGAAGGTAGGAAGGCTCTATAGAGGGATCCGGACAGGCTGGATCAATGGGCCGCAGCCAGTTGTATGAAGTTGAACAAGGCTAAGTGCCGGATCCTGCATTTGGGTCACAACAACCCCATGCAACGCTACAGGCTTGGGGAAGAGTGGATGCAAAGCTGCCTGGAGGAAAAGGACCTGAGGTGTTGGTTGACAGTCAGCTGAACATGAGCCAGCAGTGTGCGTGGGTGGCCAAG